ATAAATGTTAAGAATGTTAAGAAAATTGACAAGAATATTCCAGAGTAGAAAAGAGCGTGTATAAAAAGGGTGTAACTATTGCAGTGTTCACAGTGGTGCTTTTTGGTAATCTCAGTCTCTCACTGAACGTGCTCCTGTGATTGGCCAGCATATCATGGAATGGGTGGGAGGTGTTATCCAACAATGTACAATGTCCTTAATATGTTTTGTGTGTGTGTGTATGTGTGTGTGTGTGTGGGGGGGGTTTGCCCAGGGCACCGAACAGGCTAGGACCGCCACTGCTGGTGCCAGTGCATCATGAGTAACTACACACAGGTGTCTTCAGGAAAACTGTCACATTCCTGATATGAAGCACATGTGATGTCAGAAGTGTCAGAAAAGGTACTGCACTGTTACTCAAGGGTTCTTTTCATAGAGGGAAAAAGTTCAGAAAGTAAGAAGTGCAGATGCACATAATCTAGCAGGACTAAAGACCTGCCCAAAGCTGCTACCAAATTGTTGGTTGACCGGCAAACTCACCTGGCCGGCACTCCACAGATAATCGATGATTTTTGAGAGAACACTTGCACCAAAATACAGATAAGCTGAAGGATATTTTTAAAGCCATGTCATGCTACAGAGATGCAGTAGTAAAGGAGTGTGTTGCGTGTGTGTGATTGATCTTATCTGGTAGACATATTCAACCAGATCTCAGATTTTGTTGCCCTGGAACACACTATAAGCAAAATTTAAACAAAATGTTTGAAATATTTAACTTTTGATGTAATTCATATATAATATATGAAAGTTTGCCTTTTTTAATTCAAAGTGATTACCTTTCTCACAGCATTCAAATTCATTTCATTCCAATAAGCTCAAAAATTTGGGCCTATATTCTTGAAGCTTCCCCAAAAAGCGAGTTGCTCCTTGTGAAGTATAGACATAATCTTCTTAGTGTTGTCAATATCGATAAAAACTAAACCATTCCCCTGTTAATATAAGATGGTAAGTCATCATCCATCCATCTGGGTCCACTTATCCTTATCAGGGTGGAGGGTGCGCCGGAGCCTATCCCATCTACAACAGTGCGAGAGGTGAGGTACAGGCGAGGTCAGTAAAGAGAACAGACTGTAACTATTAGCATGTGATTGGGCTATTGTGCCTTGCCGCTGAGGTTAGAGTTTTAGCCCGTTCCCTGCTCAGAGTCTTTTCACTTGTGCAAGAGAACAATGCTGGAATTTTTACGCTAAATTAGGAGGTACCCACATTTGGTCACGTGGATATGTGGATACAGGCCCTGCTGCACAAAATCCAAAAGAACTGGGATTTGGTTATCTTAGAGATGGAGACTACGTAAACAGAAAAAGGCAACCATTGCCAATATGAGGCAGTTGGAGAACCACCTTTCATCAGCTAGACAGATTAACCTTAATCAGCCTGAAAGCAAGCTATAATATCCAGAGGGTGGGCTGAACCACACTTAGTACAGTTTTGTATTTGTGTGGATGTATGAGTAAGAGGTTAAGACCCTGGTCAGATAAATGTATTCTGAGTATCTCTGCTGCTAGACTTGTCTTCTTGTGTCATGTTTCCAAGTATCACTTGAGAACTGAAAAAACAAACTCTGACAAACTGACAGTAATTCAAAGTTGATAGGCAGGCAATTAAACCTCTTGTCCTCTGTTCTAACCATAAGGTTTCAGGTGTTATTAAATTACAGGTAAAAAGTTGCTTCTCAAATGACATTGACTGAGCCAATTGTTATGATGGAGCTGCAAGCCATAGCTTGATGGTGAGAATATTACAGGAATCCAGCTGAGGCAAAGTTTGAATTCGCCTGTGAAAAAGTGATAAATATAATTAATGATAATTACAGAGCGCAAATAAAGTATGACATAAAAAAGATGAACACAAAAATGATTCAGCTATGCCAGAATACCAGTTCTCAAAGTAAACTCTTGTGTGTTTGGGAAATGTTACAGAAATCTGAAGGACAGATTTTATGTCAATTATAACCCAAGAATGTGTCTTATGTCAAAATGAAAGTGCAGCTGTAAACCTTTTAAAATGTTGGTAAATTAATTGTGTTTCTTAGTGGTCTTTTTTTTTTTTTTATCAGATCACCATCAGATCCACAGGTAATAATCAAATAAAATGAGTCATTAGACAACAAAAGTATTTAAAGTCTTATGCGGGACGTGGATTATCCTTAATATGTCTTTGTAGGGTTTTATACTTCTCTAGAATTACTGAGAAATGACTATTCTAAGTAAAGCTAACCACAAACACAACATTAGTAATCTCTTGATCAAGACATGTAACTCTTAAGAAAGAGTTACCACACAATGTTTTGAATTCCCCGAATACACATGTTGATTTGTAGGTGGTGAGGAGATGTGCGGTGAGCAGTAATGGAACTAAAGGGTGAACCCGTAGGAACTGAAAGAAGAGAGTGGAAAAAAAGGGTTGCACCACTTCACACCCCCGAGTGGAACCACTGGTAGACTTCCCCAGCTGCCTACGCTGTGTACTCACCCCCTTATCACCTTTATCCTGTAAACATCACAGCAATAATGCTGCACACACTGACGGGGACGGGGTGCGACTGCTTTAAACATAGCTACTATAGAAATATCGCTGAAGTGATTGATGACGGTGTTCAACCCTAAGATTTTCACCTGTGGCTTGAGCATTGTTCCCTGATGTTTAGCTCTCTTACACGTTTTAGCAGCATGTTAAAAAAAGATACAAAACTGTGAGAAATGAACTGTTGTGACTGCTGAATGAGAAGCTGTCATTCAGTCCTGCCAGTCCAAATTTGTTTGCTTTACTGTTGTATGTGTATGTGGACATTTATTTTAAATGAGTTTAAAAACTGAGCTCAAGTAAAGTATGAAACTGAAAAGGTGATTATTTCAGCTTATTGCTGTAATTGGTCATTACAGCGATAAACAAGTCAAACTGTGGGTTTTACTTTAACTGTGTACAGCTCTGATTTCACACAGAAGGCCTGGAAACTGAAAGGTACTTTAGTATTTGAAACTATTTCAGGCTCTGTTTGGGGTTGCAGATGCACAGCTAAATGCAGCAAAAGGCAATGCAAGTACAGTGAAAGGAAGCTGCTCCTCCTACACATTCTCAGTGGCTTCATATGTTGCCTCAAGAAAATGTATTATGGATCGGATAAGACCATTAGACTGTTGAGAGGTCCTGTCCTCTTTTAGAAGGTTTTAGAAGATATCAGTTTTTCTTGTCTTCAGTACTGATGTTCCTACTCATAAAAAATAATTATTTGGGACATTTTTTTTAGTAAAATGTTACATTATTTTTGGTTACTCCTCAGCCTGGCCTACAAAAATGCCAGTTAAAAATATGCATACATCCAGAAAGAATTC